AAACCATCATTTATAAGGTGGAGGCCAAAGCAGAAAATGGAGACAGAATAGAAGTTACCCCAAAAAGCCTCCCCTTCACTCACAGGGATGCTCTCCCTGTGCAGCTTCTTGGGAAGCTGCATGAACTCTGGAACTAAGAGAAGAGGCAGCAAAGCATAATTTATTATTTTTAACTTTTAAATTAAATTTAAATGATTTAAAAGCACTAACAATTCTAGGTTATATCAAATTCACAGCTCAACAGAATACATTTTCAAAGCCTCAAAAGCTTATATAAAATAAAGTTTGTTAAAATGATACATAGTGGATAATAAAGATTAATTAACAAATACTGTTCTTCATATCAAAATGAACTCACTAATTAAAAGTAAACAGAAAAGATGAAGTGTTTAGTTTGACGAACAGCATGGAAAAAAAACACATTTAAATGAAAAAATTAAACTGAAGATAAATTTGTAAGTCTGTTAGGAAAAAATGTACCAAGGTTGCTTGTTGCAGTATGCAAGCACCCAGAGAGGAACAAATCATTTCATTTACGACTGAAAAATATGAAAAAACAATTTTCATATTTTATGCATTTATATAAGCACTTCCATGTAATTAAACAACATGTGTGTATAACAAGTGTTACCAGGGTTATTCAACAGCGAAGTTTAATACTGTAGAGTAAGTCTTTCTTCCTGCAGGAGAGAAATTTTGGTACAAATAACAGCTACTGAAACTGCTTAGAACAAAACAAGCCCAATTCCTGGCAAGATTTTGTTGTATCTTCCTCAGTACAATTCAGTATTAGTAGGTTTTCCCATATTGTGGAAGTTAGCATTTATTCTTCCTGAACAACAAGGTACCTTTATGAACATGAGATTTTTATTTTACTAGTAAAGACCATCTACATGCTCTTTGTAGATCAGAATCATTCTTACTACACAGAATCGTATTTCTTTGTATAATGTGAGGCAGAGTAGCATTGGAGGAGGGAACCAGTAACAATACCAAGTAGCTTCCTTTCAAAGCATAAAATAATCCCCAGTATCCCTCCATATTCAGAGCATGCATTACAAATAACTGTGATGACTCTAAAATAAGAAGGAACTACACCAAAACCATAAAACAGCTCAAGGGAATGCATCAACTTTGGTTGACAAGAAGCTCTACATGAGCCGGCAATGTGTGCTTGCAGCCCAGACAGCCACCTGTACCCTGGGCTGAACCAGCAGCGCAGCCCCCAGGGCAAAGGAGGGGATTGTCCCCCCCTGCTCTGCTCCTCTGAGATCCCACCTGCAGCCTGCACTCCGCCCTGGGGCCCCAGCACAAGGACACAAAAGCATTAGAATGAGGCCAGAGGAAGGTCAAAAAGATGATCAAGGGGCTGGATCACCTCTCCTACAAAGACAGGCTGAGGGAGTTGGGGTTGTTCAGCTGGAAGAAGAGAAGGCTCTGGGGAGACCTCACGGCAACGGCCTGCCAGTGCCTAACGGGGGCTGCAGCAGAGCTGGGGAGGGACTCTCTGATAAGGGGCATAGTGATAGGACAAGGAGTAATGGCTTTAAACTAAAAGGGGCATGTTTAGGTCAGATTTATGAAATAAATTCTTCCCTCTGAGGACGGTGAGGCACTGGCCCAGGCTGCCTCAAGGAGCTGTGGCAGTACCCAAGACCAGGCTGGATGCGGCTGGGGACAGTGGGCTGGAACCAACGGGGCTTTGAGGTCCCTTCCAACCCAAAATATTCTGATTCTGTGAACATGGTAATAACAAACTTCATAAGTTTCAAGTTTTATGTCCAGACTTATAGTTAAGCCATTCAGAGGTATGACTGTCTGGGCATGGTGATTAGTGTTTTGTTTTTCTTTTTTCCCTGAAGACCAAGTCCCCTTCAGACAAAAGCAAGAAACTTGAAATTAACAAAAAATAAGAAAAAAAACAGCAAGGAAGGGCTGGAAGACTTGACAATGTCTCTAATCACAACCTCCACAAAAATGCAAGCTCCTACTATGCTTAAACACACTCAGGCCTTACCTTTCCCCACTATAAACGTCAATTTATATTACCCTACCGCAAAACGAAAAGCCATTTTAATCAGTACTTCCCATCACAGTATACGCCGTGTCTTTATACCAAAGGTGTTATCAAAAGTAATACCACACAAGAGAGTCTGGCTTGCTTTCTTTCCTGGTAAGTACATGCTTGGTATCCCATTTCAAGTTTCACAACAGAGTGACTGGTCCACCCAGCCAGAATGCGGAGAGCAGGTTGAACCAGAAATGGCATTCCAGCAAGTGTCGTTTCTGAACACCAGTGGGCAAGAAGGGACTGCGGGTACATTTGGTATCATTCTAAAAGCCTGGGACCCTGGGTTCTCAACGCTGAAGTGAAGTGAGTAACACAAAACCAAGAACTGCTTAGTTACCAGAAGTCTACTTCTCTGCTCTTACTTTCACAGATTCTCTAGGTAAAAGAAAGTTTCAGCAATATTAAGGTTTTAGTCTTTTGGAAGATCTTCACCATATCCTCACCCCACTATTAAGCTCTAGCAATATTCACTTTAACTGCAGTTTAGTTGTCAATGATTTTTTTTCATTAACCATGCCAAACTGCACACCTGTTTTTTTTCCTTTACATTAAATTCCCATTAACAAAATGATACGATAACAGCAATAAAAACATGGCAAATCAACAACAAACTTGGGAAAATTCACAGACACACTACAGACAGTTTTCCAACTTGTTTTTTAGAATATTCCTGCACAAAGATATGACTAGCTTCCTGAAAATACAAGCTAGAGTAACATTTGGGCAAGATCCTAACTATTTTCTGTTTCAGTTTTAATGAACAAACTACAGAAATTCCCTAGATATCAACCCTGCAGCTACCAGATGCAACAAGTGAAGTATTTTGCTCCGAACTATCTCGGTGAAAAGTTAAGCTGTATTCTTTTCATGTCCCTACACAACCAAGTATTCTCCCTGTTTTTTTTCACATCACTCAGAAGGCTAAGACATCTGCCAGGGATGGAAACAAAACAGAAACTTTCTCATCTCCTTTGATCAAAGCCACTTTTTGCTGTCAAAAAATACCTACATTTCAAGTTTAATTTATGATCATGTTATTACTTCCTGTGCTGATCTGCTGCTAACAGGAACAACAAAAAAAAAAAAGATGAGAAGTTTTCCAATTCCCCATTTTTAAACACAGCATTGTTTACTGCTGCTTTTTGGCTGACATTCTTCTACAACTTGAAAGAGCAAGGATCCAGTGAAGGACCAACACTTCATGTAACTGAAGGAAAATTTTAGTGTCAGATACTACAATTAAAATGTTTTAGCAACTCTAAGAGTTTCTTATCAGATTAAATGATATTTAGATACTGGCCCAGGCTCCCCAGAGCAGCTGTGGCTGCCCCATCCCTGGCAGTGCCCAAGGCCAGGCTGGATGGGGCTGGTGATGAGGGGACAGGGGGCCCTGCCCAGGACAGGGGGCTGGAGCCAGGTGGGCTTTGAGGTCCCTTACAACCCAACCTAACCCATCCTATGGCTACACGACAAATGTCCACTAGTTATTTTCACACAAAATTCTGTGTAGCTCAAAGAGATGCCCCTCTGTGATCTGTCAGTGTTTTTTTTTTCCTCAAAATTGATGCCCTTAATCTGGTTAATTCCATCAACTTCTGAAATGGTCAAATGCCCGCAGGTTAAGTAAAGTCCAGCTTCTAAAGTGTGGAGCAGATGGGCAGGGAACTCCAAAAATGCTAACAGCAGATCAATCAAAAGACACAACAAGTTGTTCTTACTAAGCTGAGTACGCTTAAATAAAATGTATTTTCATCACATTTTCAGAGCTTCCCCTTAGGAATACTAACACGTAACTGAATAAGATGATAAGAACTAGGTTTCAAAAAAATACTTTATTTCTTATTATAATCCAGATGATACGAGAACACTGTAGCAAACTGCTTAGAATTAAAAGTCAATTTTGCTGACAAATAATGCAGGAGGAAGAAACCCCAAGTGTTTTGATACAGTATTGTCTACATACTGTAAGCTTTCTGACAGAGGTGGATGTGGTAGCGCCTTTCAGGCGCCTTTTCAGGAAGCATAGAAGCATTTCTGAGTTAGAAGAAGTATAAAAGCATAAACACAGGTTACAATACAAATGAGGGACTAACAGCTACACAGAAAAACAGATTCCCAACTGCTGCTCAAAAACAGTGATTAAGAATCTCATGAGGTACAAAACCAGCAGAGTACAGAACTACTTACCTATGACAAGTTTTGTAAGACAAACAGACGTGCTCAAATGAGTATCAATACCGCAAAATATTGTATTTCAAGGCATACAAATATCTAATCATAAAAAAGAATCTAACAGTAAGCAAGAGAGAATTAACACCCACTTTCAAGAAGGTACAAAGTTTAGCGAGTTGTCTTTGGTTGAAAGAAGAGAAGCAGTTTTTGGCAATTACTTCAAGGGCTCACCTACATTTACTGCTAATTCGGACTGGCAAATTACTGATAGAGCGTGCCACCACACACTTACCAAGCCGACCCTCCCTTCCAGAGCCACAAAGTGCCTGCCACATGGGGCTGTACGCAGCCCACAGAGGCCTGAGCTCCCTAACTCGCGTCTCCAAGCAGTCCCAGCCTGGCCCCAAGCCTCAAACTCGAAGCAGAGGAAGAAGCGGCGATGTTTAGAGAAGAAAAAAAAGGGGGACGGGAGGAGGAACCGAGGAGCGGCAGGCCCGGGAGAGCCACGCGCGGGGCGGAGGCCGGGCAGCAGGCGGGAGAGGCCCAGCCACCAGCCCCCGGGCCCGGCAGCAGACCCCTAAACCCCCTGTACCCGCTGGGCGCTGCCCGGCCCGGCCCTGCCGTGCCCGCCGCCCTCAGCGCCGCTCCCGGGGTCTCGGCCCCTTCCCCGCGCCTGGGCCGCGGCCTAAACATGGCGGAAGAGCCGCGCTCCCAGCCGCTGGGCGCCGCCGCCGGCCCGCCCCCGAGCCGCACTCACCGTCCCACCAGCGTCGCGTCCGTCCCGTCCCGCCCGGTCCCGTCCCGTCCCGTCCCGTCGCTCTCCCGTCCGTCCCGGCCCGGCCCCGTCCCGCCGCCGCCTCACGCGCCCCCTCCGCGGCCCGCCGCCATCTTCCTGCCCCCACCAGCGCCGGGGGCGGTGCACGCGCGCTACGTCAAGACGCACGGCGGCGCGAGAGGCCGCGGCGACTGCGCATGCGCGGCGCTGCCGGACGTGCCGGAAGCCGGCCACCCCGCCCTCGGGCTCCTTCCCCGCGCGGGTGCAGGCGCCAAGCGGCGCGCGCGTGCGCACTGCGGTGGGGGCGGGGCTCCCGGCGCGCAGCCGTGGCCCGGGCCGCGCTCGGCGCCCTGTCAGCAGCGGCGCCGCCGCCATCTTCCCTCTTCCCTCCCGTCACCGCGGCTTCCCCCCGGCCCCGAGAGGTTTTTTTTCTCCTTCCAAGCTACCGTTTATTAAAAAGGCCCTCGTAATAAAACCAGGACGTGCCATCTCCCGTTCATAAAGCACAGGCCGTTCATTAGAAACGTCTTTTAATTTACACTGAACAGCAATACAAAACCAGGGAAGCTGTGAAATTCCACCTTCCCGATCGATTAAAAAAACATAGAAGCTGACTCTGCCCATCCCTCAATCTTCCAAGAGTCAGGTCACCACGAGTCAAGAAGCAGCGTCCCCATCTCTTTTGGAAGGTCACAAAAAAAAAGAAGTCACATCTACATTTCTGCTAAAAAGCAGAAACACGTAGAACAATCCCAAACCAGGGAGAGGGGCATGGAAGAAACAAATACTTGAGCCACTAAGACTTTTCAGGTGCTTTGGCCCTCACAATACAGCAGTCCTTAACCAAACACACATGGAACAAACCAAGAGGACTAAACTTATCCCGAGTTTGAGAGCACCCGCACGTGCTGGTGCTGGAGTACCCTTCATCCACAGCTCCCTCGCTCAGCCCAGGAGCTGGATTGGTGCAGAGGGCTGAGAAACAATCATAGCTCTCAGATTTTTCTGCCTTATGTGGAAGGATTGAGGGTTAATTTAGTACTGGAAGCTGCGTTTAGTCTGAATGTCGTCAAGAATCTGCTGTAATTCCTCATCTTCAAATCGGCCCTCCAGGCTGCAAGATAAAAACCAATGAGGGTTTATTAAAGGGTTTTGAAGTAGCCTCCCTGCTACCCTCTGTATTAATTTCAGATACCCACACAATGCCCTCTTGTAGGTGAGAGAACTGCATCCTTCCCAGAACTTTCTGCTGAATGATTTCAAATCATTGTATCAAAAAGGCAACCCAGGTGCTGGCTTGAACAGACCTCTAAATGAAGCCCACATAGCCTCAAGCTCATCAGCCAGTACAGACTTACTATGAAGAACGCAAGGAAAGAGCCTCAGAGGTTGCACCAAGGGAGGTTTAGATGGGATATTCGGAATAATTTCTTCCCAGAAGGGGTGGTTAGGCATTGGAATGGGCTGCCCAGGGAAGTGATGGGGTCTCTCTCCCTGGAGGTATTTAAGAAATGTGGATGCAGCACTTAGGGACATGGTTTAGTGGTGGACTTGGTAGTTAGGTAGATGATTGGACTTTATCTTATGGGTCTTTTCTAACCTGAAAGATTCTATTATTCTGTGAAATCTTAGCATACAAGGAAGAAAACAGTTCAGATGAGTGTTTGATTTCCTCCTCTTTCTGAGGCCATGAGGTAACAAATCAAAATATGATACTGGAAGAAGCTTCTGTCCCACCTGTACATTACAGAACAGTTCATAGGAATGCTCTGTTGTTTGCTCCAACAGAAACAGACAAACAAAACACACATAGCTAAGTGGGCTGAGAACCACAATTTGAGCCATTGACTCATTCCAGTAAATTTTATCTCAAGTGCTTTAGGGATACTTAAAAAGTTTGCTTCACTGTCAGATCAATGAATAGGTGAAGAACAACTCAAGACAGAAAGCTTCTCCATCAACAGAGCCATATTGAAAAGAAGGTATCTGTCCATAGCAACCTTTAGATCACAGGAAAGTATAAACCAGTCCTTTTGCAATACATAAATGCTCACCTAGGAATCAAAGCTTTGGCCTCCTCAGCTGTCTCAGGACACAAGTTAGCCAAACATGCCAGTTCAAATTTATGGAGCTTTTTCTGGAGTAGCAAACTGTAAAGGAAGACAACTTGGTGAAATTACAAGACAGAAATATAAAAAAGCGTAACACAAACCAAACAGACAACAAAGAACTACCATGCTCATGGCACTGAGTTCAAGGTTTTTTGTTTTGCTTTGTGATGTTGTTGTTGTTTATTTTCCATTAAGAAAGACATTACATAATTTAACAGGAAAAAAAATCACCACCATGGGAAGGCCCTACTTCCCCTAGAATTACTCTACAAACAGCCTAGAAAAGCCTTCCATTTACTGAAATCTGCTGTCAATCTGCTATCAAAGCAGTTCAAAAGGTAGGACCGAGACCAAGTACAATTCTACATGAAGAATTATGATAAAAGGTCTTGCCTCTCCAGGATGACAATATTCAGATTTATATGAGTCCAAATCAGTAAGCACCACTAAACTGTACTTACATAAAATGATATTACATTTCAAATTCACCAATATAGTCTTATATCCTAATTCTTCCACTCACCTACGAACACTGGCAATGGTTTCACGGTTTTTGAAGCGGCTGAAACGCGCTGTGTAATTCAAAGTTTTCATGAAGACTTCAGAAAGCTCCTGCTCATCTTCTGCACTCTCATTCTGTTGCTTACGATGCTCAAGAAGCATGTGCACTTCTGAATTTAGAAGAGTTTCCGCAGTTTCAAATTCTGCATTTGAATAAATGAACACCAGCATAAAAACAGGTAAAGCATGGATTAAAAAGTCCACTAAAGGGAGTTTTGTATGTAACTGAGCTTTAAAAAATAAGGAAATAACAGCGTGCTTCACTGTAATCGTGCAAGCCCTTTTGCCAATGATTAGACAGAATTTCTGAAATATGCAGGTATAAATATAGATTAAAATTACACCATTTTGCATGACTACCCAATGTGTTTGTCTTTTTGATTACACATTATACTTCTGCAGCCACAGCCTCCTGGTTTGTCACACTTATGCAACATGGTTTTTTTTCACCTACTTTTGGCAGAACTTAAGCAACGCATGACTTGGCTTGGGCATGAAGTACATTGAAGTGTATTATTCAGGAGTGACACCTATGGTCTTGGAGGGACCGCTAAGGAGTTGTGAAAGTAAATGGGAACGCTGCTGAACTTAAAGAGCTTGAAACGTTGATCGACCCGGTAAAATTTAGTCCTATCAGAAAACCAGGGGGGGCATCCATCCCAGGGCACCCTTAGCACCCTTTCATGAGAGCCCCCAGCGGCAGGGCAGGGCTCGAAATGCTCTGGCAACCTTTGCTGAGCACGGCCAAAGAGGAGATTTTAGATTAAAATCATGAGGGGAAAAAAAAAAAAACAACTCTTTCAGGACGATATTCCCCCCCACACACACCACTCCCCCGGACCTTAAGCAGTAAATACAGCTCTGGGGTGGGCTTACACAGGATAATTTCCTGAAAATAAAATAAAATTCACAGCCCCCCCACCGCCACCGCCGCCGCCGCCGCCGCCTCCCTCCCTCCCTCCCGGCCCGGCCGGGCGCCCACCCTTGGGGAAGACGAGCTGCGAGGCGTCCTCCTCCACATCGGCCGTGCGCGGGTCGGCGCCGCCCGCCGCCATCGCCCCGCGGCCGGCAGCGGAAGCCCCGGCAGCGGAAGGGAGAGCCGCGGCGGGGCGGGCCCGGCTGAGGGGGCGGTGAGCCCTGGTGCTCGCGGTTAGGAAATAACCCGAGAGCTCCAAACTGTGCTGGGCCGTGCGTTAGAGGCGGTGCAGCGGGGGGTGTTTGCCCAGCGAGGCGGCAGCTGCGCCTTCAGCCCCCTCAGCCCGGAGCGCTGTGAAGCCAGGAGCTGCAGGTGCCTCTGTTTGGCTTCAGCGACGTGAGGAAAAGTGTAGCAAAACATCTCCTTAGGAAGGCTGCCCACACCAGAATTTCTCTCTGGGTCGGTGTCAAATACACCCGAGTTTGGGAGGAAGGAGAATTGATAGCACACTTTGGGTGGGAGGTCACTGTCTTCAGACCGCCCAGAACTAGTCTATAGACCTCAAAAATGATAACGAGGCTGAAAATGATAATGTTTCTCCTGACGCTAGTCATGGGAAGGCCGCCAACAAAATAACCAAGTGGTACTTTCCCTAGAGAGCTCACATGAAGGCTTAAGACTTAAAGTAATCATCTTACCAGCCCTTACAACGTTGTCCTGTGCCCTTAAAGAAAGGCAAAATCGGGCTGTTGGAGACTTGATCCTGAAACCACTCCTGTTCTTGTGAACTTGCAGCCATGCCAGGTGAACTGCTTCTTGCGTGCTGCGAAAAGGAACAAGTGTAAACTGTAAGAATATTTACGGGATCAAAACGTTGATCTTTAATATTTGCTAACAGAATATTCGAGCATGGCAGAGAAACTGATAGAAATTTCCTAAGTGGTACAAATGAGGACAATAGAACAAAAATATCTCAGGGAACATCTGGCAAATTGGACAATTTCAATTACGTTTACAAGAAGATAAGGAAATCCATGCCAGACTGAGGAAAGAAGCATTTAAAATCACTTGGAATCCCAGCGGCTTCTTAATAACCCATCTACTCAGAACATCGTGGTCCTCAGAACAGTAGGTAGCTTGCAGAAGCATAGGTTATGAATTTCACCTTTGTTTTTCCCCAAGGATCTGGTCTACTTAAGTATATGAAAACTAAAACCATTAAGGGAAAGCCAGATACTTGAAGAGTTTAAAGGTACAGCTAAAGAGGCTGTCATAGAAGATAAAGGTTCATTGTCTCGGATGTGTTTGGCTAAGGTCTCAAGAGTTAGACAAATAAGAACATTCCTGAATGGAACCTGATTCTCCTCCACTCCCCTGGCTTTTTTTTTTTTTTTTTAATTTTAAAAATACACTTAAAGAAATGCATGGTACATACCGTTCAGCCTCTGCAACTAACCAAGCATAACAGAGTACCAGGCTTCTTTATTTTTTATAAGTAATGGCTTCTTCCTCACCTACGCTTGCTGCCTGTTTTAACATTT